CTTGTTTATTCAGATCGGACATTTCATTTGCCCTTTTCTGACTATTTCTTATGACGTATTTTCTTTCCAGACATGATTTATGTAATTTATGATTTCCAGATATCTGCTTTTAACACAACTATTCAGTATGGACTCTAAAGCCTCTTTTCAGCTGCTCCAGCAGAGGACGGTCTGACGCCAAAGTCTATCAGTAAGGTGGAGAGCTTCCTAAAAGCACCTCTAGGAGCTTCAGCTGACATTCACTTTGCAATGAACTGTGAACAGAAATGCATATAAGCATCTATGCACTTGTATGGAAGGAGGTTTTTCTGTTCTTTTTGTTTTTTTTTTTCTTTTTTTCCAGAGATAAACACTGTTATAAGGATTTAATTTTTTAGTATTAAACTTGTAAAGATATCACATTTGATTTAATACCACTTTTGCTTGGAACATTTTGAATGAAATGAAGAACTGATGTTTACTAGATATTATGGAAATAATTTCCTGGATAGAAGATGGTCGTCTGAAATCCAGAACTATCATCTAAAAAATTACTGTAGAGTCTCTCTACATATTAAATACTGTTAAGCATACAGCTCCGTTTAAATAAATGCAGAAAGTATTTTAGAGGATCAATCCCACGCAGCGGAAATCGTATCTGTTGGCGTCAAAACCCCAGCAATATGTATTGTGTTTTTCAAAAAGAAGTTATGGTAGTGAAAGAAGAAATCCATGGGCTATGAAGTGGCAAAATTGTAAAATACACGTCTCATATTCCAATAAGGAAAAAATAAGAAATGTGAGTTGAGGGTAGAAATAAGACTAAAATTATACTGCGTACAAAAATTTACAGAATAATGAAAAAATAATTTTAGTCCACAAGGATGTGAAATTATCCCTTATTTAAGGGTCCCTGGCTACATTATGTCAATTGTTTACATTTAAAATGAAGTTTTGTTCAGTTTACTAAGTCTGTCCCAAACATTCGAAAGGTAACAAAGGTTATAAGGATTTAACTGTTTTACAAAGTCATATATACAACCATAAGACCTCAAGCTGCATAACTAAAATATTACAGATTCTTTACATTTAATCAAGGTATTGATTAATAGCTTAAGAAAGTAAGATTCACTTTGTGACCAAAAGATAGACCAGGGGTAATGCAGGCCATCACCAAAATGAAACGGGAGACCTAGCCACCCTGGATTTGGAGAAAGCTGAAGTTCTCACTGGCTTCCTTGCCTCAGTCTTCACTGTCACATGCTTTAGCCACACCGCTCAAGTCACAAAAGACAAATGAAGGGATTCATATTTGAAAAATCATGGCAGTCAGGTGAAGCTCCCAACAACTGGAAAAAGGGAAATATAACCCCCATTTTCAAGAAGGGGAAAATGGATGACCTGGGGAACTACAGACCAGTCAGTCTCACCTCTGTGCCTAACAAAACCTTGGAGCAGATTCCCCTGGAAGGCATGCTAAGGCACATGAAAATCAAAAAGGTGCTTGGTGACAGCCAACATGGCTTCACTAAGGGGAAATCCTGCCTGACAATTTGGTGGCCTTCTATGATGGGGCTATGGAACTGATGGACAGGGGTAGAGCAGTTGACGTCATCTACGTGGACTTGTGCAAAACATTTGACACTGTCCCACATGACATCCTTGTCTTTAAATTGGAGAGACATCAATTTGATAGGTGGACCATTCGGTGGATAAAGAACTGGCTGGATGGCCACACACAAAGAGTTGTGGTCAATGGCCCAATGTCCAGCTAGAGACCAGTAATGAGTGGTGTCCCTCAGGGATCGATGTTGAGACCGGTCTTGCTCAACATCTTTGTTGATGACATGGACAGTGGGATTGAGTGCGCTCTCAGCAAGTTTGCCGATGACACCAAGCTACGTGGTTCGGTTTAGACACTGGAGGGAAGGAATGCCATCCAGAGGGACCTTGACAGGCTTGTAAGGTGGCCTGATGAAGTTTAGGCATGAGGTTTTAACTTATGAAGTTTAACCATGCTAAATGCAAGGTCCTACACCTGCGTCGGAGCAATCCCAGGCACAGCTACAGGTTGGGCAGAGAAGTGATTCAGAGCTGCCCTGTGGAGAAGGACTTGGGGGGGGTGGTTGATGAGAAAATGAACGAGCCAGCAGTGGGCGCTTGCAGCCCAGAAAGCCAAACATATCCTGGGCTGCATCCAAAGGACAATGACCAGCAGGCCAAAGGAGGTGATCCTGCCCCTCTACTCTGCTCTTGTGAGGCCTCACCTGGAGTATTGTGTGCAGTTCTGGTGTCCTCAACACAAAAAGGACATGGAACTGTTGGAACAAGACCAGAGGAGGGCCACGAGGATGATCAGGGGACTGGAGCACCTCCCATATGAAGACAGGCTAAGGAAGTTGGGGCTGTTCAGCCTGGAGAAGAGAAGGCTGTGTGGAGACCTCATAGCAGCCTTCCAGTATCTGAAGGGGACCTATAGGGATGATGGGGATGGGGGGCCGGAGTGACAGGACAAGGGATAATGGGTTAAAACTTAAACAGGGGAAGTTTAGATTGGATATAAGGAAGAAATTCCTTCCTGTTAGGGTGGTGAGGCACTGGAATGGGTTGCCCAGGGAAGCTGTGACTGCTCCATCCCTGGTGGTGTTCAAGGCCAGGTTGGACAGAGCCTTCGGTGGCATGGTTTAGTGTGAGGTGTCCCTGCCCATGGAAGCGGGTTGGAAGTAGATGATCTTAAGGTCCTTTCCAACCCTAACCATTCTATGATTCTATGATTCTATGACTTGGAGAATGAAGACCGTAAGTGCTCTGTAGGCGAGGATCAGGTCTGAGATCTACAGAACCTAAACGTTTTCAAGCCCAAGGTATGTGATAAAATTTACCTGTGGGTCCTGAGAGAACTGGTGGATGAACTTGCTAAGCCACTGTCCATCATATCTGAAAAATCATGGCAGTCTCGTGAAGTTCCCGATGACTGGAAAAAGGGAAATGTAACCCCCATTCTCAAGAAGGGGAAAATGGAAGACCCAGGAAACTGCAGACCAGTCAATCTCACCTCTGTGTCTGGCAGAATCACGAAGCAGATTCTCCAGGTGGTTGGTGACAGCCACCATGGCTTCATCTAAGGGCAAACCATGTCTGAGCAATTCTCACATCATCTACCCAGACTTATGCAAAGCGCTCAACACTGTCCTACACAGCATCGTAGTCTCTAAACTGTAGAGGCATTAATTTGATGATGGGCCACCACCAATGAATAAAATAATTGGCTGGTTGATCACACACAGAGAGTTGTGGTCCATGGCTTAATGTCCACATGGAGACTAGGGATGAGTGGTGTCTCTCAGGGGTCAGTGTTGGGAAGGATCCCCTTCAACATCTTTGTTGGTGACATGGAGAGTGCGACGTGACCGTGACCTCAGCAATTTTGTTGACAACACCAAGCTATGTGATGCTGTTGACACTCCGGATGGAAGGGATGCCATCCAGAGGGACCTTGACACGCTTGAGAGGTGGGCTAATGCCATCCTCATGAAGTTCAACATGGCCAAGTGCAAGGTCCTACACCTGGGTCGGAGCAATCCCAGGCACAGCTATAGGTTGGGCAGAGAAGAGATTCAGAGCAGACCTGAGGAGAAGGACTTGGGGGTGTTGGTCAATGAGAAACTTAACGTGAGCCAGCTTCAGTGTGCCCTCTCAGCCCAGAAAGCCAACCATGTCCTGGGCTGCATCAAAAGGAGCGTGACCAGCAGGTTGAAGGAGGTGATCCTGCCCTTCTACTCTTCTCTCATGAGATCTCACTTGGAGCACTGTGTGCACTTAGGGTGTCGTCAACATAAGGACATGCAACTTGCAGATCAAGTCCAGAGAAGGGCCATGAGGATGGTAAGGGGGCTGAAGCACCTCCCACAGGCTAAGAAATTTGGGGCAGCTCATCCCTGAGAAGAGAAGGCTGCGTGGAGACCTCCTAGCAGCCTTCCAGTATCTGAAGGGGGCCTACAAGGAGGCTGGGGAGGGACTCTTCATTAGGGATTGTAGCTACAGTGCAAGGGAAAACAGTTTCAGGGGAACTTCAGGGGAAGTTCAGGTTAGATATAAGGAAGAAGTTCTTTACTGTGAGAACAGTGAGGCGCTGGAACAGGTTGAGAAAAACCATGGCAAATGCTCTATCCCTGGCATTACTGAAGGCCAGGTAGGACAGAGCCTTGGGCAACATGGTCTAGTGTGAGGCATCCCTGCCCATGGCAGGGGGCTTGGAACTAGATGATCTTAAAGTCATTTCCAACTTGAACCATTCCATAATTCTATGATTCTACTGTACCCAGAACTGCAAATTATTGCCAACATACTGAAGAATTTACTTTTGAAAAGATATCTTAAAAAAGCTACTTAATTTTCACCAGACAATTTCACTGCAACAACTGAACTTCTTGACATAAGGCAGTTAATGGGTGTTTCCAATTCTGGAAATGAGAAATATATACAATAAAATATATTTATTTTTATTTATGTGCCCTGTTAAATTCAGCTTTATCACAAATCTGTATAAATAAAGCAGGTTCAGAACTATCAGAAGTACCTTCTTATCTCTGGCTTAAAAAAATTATAGAACTCTGGAAAGAAAAAAGTGTCTGTTCCTTTGCCCACTGAGGTTACAAGTCCTAAGAACTTCGTTTTCTTGAGTCCATGGTCAGACTCAAGATATAGGTTACAGAAAAACGCCAGCATTAATGGAAAGAGAAGGCTTAGAATATGGAACTATTTTTTGGAATTATTTAAAAACTTATAAATGTAGTTCATTATCTTACACGAAAATTTTACCCGACACACCACTGACAGGAAGAATCCACAGTAGTTCTCTGTATAGTGGGAGAGCAATTTTTTTATTAACTCTAAACCTTTACCACGAACTATCATAGTAAATAACTGCTAAATAAAATCATAAGAACATTATCAAGCTTTAATTCTGTTGTCTTTGAGTAATCTAGTTGAATTATCCAGTAACAAAATGAGTTTCTTACCTCAACTTTGTGAATTCAAACTCCTGTTAGGAAATAAAGGAGAATATTCAGAGAAAGAAGCAGAGAGGAAGACACTGACTTTTCTTTCCAAATATTTCACAGAAAACAGGTCAACAACACTGATAACAAATTACATCAAGTAGAAAGTTCCCCTTTTATAAACAGGAAGTTTGTTTTTTATCTGTATGTATTCTCTAGCTGTAAGGAGTCTCCAACTGACACATAACAATGTAAAGAAGTGAGGTATTCCCATAGCTGGGAATGAGTGTTCATTCATCCAATTTTCAGATGAAGAAAGAAATTTTAAGAAACATAGTAAAATTTCAGTTCAAACATATGTCTAAAAAGTCACTTGCCTGAAGTTTTATCCCTGTGCTTGAAACACAAGGATATAATGAAGCTAATTAACTTTTTTTCAATCAATATATAATTCTCTAAGTTTTTTTCACAGGCTTTTTGTTTGTCAACCTGATCTCCAACTCAACCTGAGTTGCTATGAGTTCTGGTATTCTTTTGTACCTTATTATTGCTGTTACAATCACTGTACATTAGACATTTTCCAAGCACTGTCAGAAGTCTGCAAAAGCAGGGAGCAAAGATCAAGAAAGAGAAATTATAAAATATAATTTTTAATGAAATACCCATAAAGGTGTAATTTATTTGGTAGAAACCACAAACAATATCAAGATATTTCCAGAAGGATTTAAATTTGGTTAGCTCTTGTAGATTTTCCTAACTATAAGTTATACAAACTACAATCTTGACTTTTTCTATAAGAAACTTATTCTCTCATCTTTAGGTATTTCCTTGGAAGAGGAATGAGAAAAATTTGCAACGCAAGTTTCGGACACGAGAAAAAAAAATGCATGGAAAGTAGGATTTAAACTCTTCTCTCCTTTTTGATGGTTTCAGATACTATCGATAACAGAATATCCACATCCAACTCCATCTTTAGAATCATTATAAAACTTAAACAACTAGAACACTTGATTTGACATATTTTTAGTGGAATTTAGAAAATAAAGAGAAAGGAATTTACTAATAGGTAGGTGTAGCTACTAGTAAATAACCAGATAAAACATCTACACAGGACAAAAATATGTACTGAAGGTACTTTGAACCTGTACTTTGTTATGTAAACCAAGGTTTTGAGATCAGTGCAAATTAAAAGATAAAGGAGCTGCATCCCTTAGCAATGAGCATCAACTAGAGAGATAAGAAATTTATGGCCTGCCTTCAGACAACAAAAGACCCCAAGGATGGATGAGGAGACCCCAGACCAAAATTCGTCATTGGACCAAGAGGCTCTTACAAGGCAGATGAACAGTGTGTGATGGCTGGGGGCGTAGAATTATAAAGGGTATAAAACCCCATACATTTCTTTGTTCTGGGACCCTCCCCAGAGGCACTCAGTGTGAGCTGCTCCTGCTTCTGTACCACTCAATTATTAAATCATTTATCTAAGAATTGGATTCCTGAGACTATGCTGTGGGAAACTTAGGGCAGAGAATTTTCTTTAATACTTCTCAAAAGCCTAAGAAAAGGAACAAGTTTCCATTTTTGTTGAAATCTGGACAAATCTTGTAATATTCAAAACTGAATCTTGATGCTTTTATTTAAATTATTGTTTAGACACGATATCATGTTTCATCCCTAATAATAGCTCTCCAGATTATTTTACTGATTCTTTAGAATACTTATGCATTTACTTAAATTTTCTGGAAATACATCTCGTACATGTATTACATCATCTCATACATCAACATTCCATGTTGATGGAACACAGTAGGAACATTGTGCAGGTTATCTTTCAGAGAGGAGTTTGGATCATAATACAACAGAGGTAGAAACAATTTAGGAGAAACTTCCATCAAAGAAGGAAAGATCATCTTCTTTGTGTCCTGTGCCCTGACCCTATTAATCCCTGAATGACAGGGTTGCAAAAACATTGCTGATAAAGGGAAAAACATTAACACCACCCTCCCACAAACTAAAGACAATACTACACCTTGGTAGGGTGGCCTATAATGAAGAAGTTACTAGTTGGTAGCTCTTCACAGTGATACTTAAAAGATGTTATGCTAGATACTGTAGAAAGGCAGGATAATTATCTGTGTGTTGTTACACAGCGAGAATTACAGTCACTGAACTTTCAAGTAAAGAGTCAAGTACCACATTCAAAAGTTTTTTCCTGTTATGTAAACACCATGCTACCCTGAATGAGAGTAACTCTCCACAAGTCAGTGCTCTTTCCCCCCTCCCTTCTTTGTTCAGCACCTATTTAATCTTTAATCTTGATTTAGCTTCCTGCACACCTGGCTTACACCTGTTGGTTTTTTTTTTGTGTTGAGACCTACTTCATGCTTAGTCTGATCAGTCAGTCAGAAAAGTATAGAGAGAAAATCACAGACAGAAAAAGGCTTAATTTCAAGTGAACTCTTGTTTCTTTGAATTTCTCTTACACATAGTGGCTACCTGTTCTCCAGTGTTGTGTCATGCTAGCTATTCGCAGAACTTTTGTCCTGGTTCAGTAAGTTAGTGCAATAAGTTAAGAAGCAAATGTGCTTTCCCAAGCCTTTCCAGGCACAATTTTAATACCGTACTTGCCCTGTTATTGGAATATTGACTGTCAGAACTTCATTACCTACAAGATTGGATTAAGATTCTAGATTTTTTTTTTTTTTAAAAGGTTGAAATTATATGGGGCTTTAAATTTTTTAGATAATGAGGCCTTGGATGATCTCACCTTGCATGCAGCCTGCCTTCAGTTCAATACGTGGATCACAAAACTCTGCTTTGGTTAATGGAGTTAGGAGTTATGAAACAATGTAAATCTTGTGATTAACTAAGGAGCTATAAAAACCTTTAGATTACTGGTTCTGCACCATTATCTTGAACTCATATTTGACTCCAGTTCTGTAGTTTCAGTTTGCTTACCTGACTTTATGCATTTATAGTATATGTGTTCTTCTTGACCCTTAACTATCACAGTTCCAGTGAAACTTAAAAAATTGGTATCTTCAGCCATTTCCTCTCTACACAAGGAATAAATTCACTGGGATAATTACTCCATCATTATTTCTCTTCATGTAATGGTAATTAGGTTTTACAAGTAATTGCAGCTACCTTTTGTTACAATTTCTTCTCTGCTGGTGCCATACTTTCATTACGAAATATATTTTAATTATTTTTCTGTCATTTTAATATTTATTCAGAAATAAATTTCAGTATTTCTGAATACTGATTTGGGGATAGATTGGACTGAAGGTTTTAACATTTTATTTATTTTTTTTTTTTTTTGTGGAGTTAAACAATCTAGACATTTTTGTATTACCCAAAACATTATGTCCAGCCATGGAGACAAATCAATATAACAATGCAGCGAATTTAAATCAAGTTTCATATTGTGTTTTTTTATCCAAATGGGAGTTGTTAAACAGGTAATGCAATACAAGACATGGAATACATTGGGAGATTTTAGAATATAGTGCTAAAAATATAAGTGCTAGATGCTGTATGTTGCATGTTACATGATTTACTTAGTATTTCTTGCATAAGACCCTTTCAATCACAGATCCTAATGGACAGACGAAGTACCATACAACAAATATTAGTATCATATCATTTTCACACTTATGGTAGTATGCCTGCTGAACTGTATTATTTGATTCAAGTGACTGGTAGTCATGCTTGCTCAGCCTATCACTTATAAATCTATTTTTCTCTACAGAAAACACTGTTATTGGTTGTCTTGTCTAGCCTTACTGACTTCATTGGACTAGCATGGTTATTTTCTGAGCTTGGGTGGTTATTCACTGCATCACAGACAGCAATAATATTTCTTCCTACTAGGGATTCTGAGGAAAGTAATGCTCATTTAAAATAAAATAGCTTTTTTTTTTTTTTGTAAAAAAAACCCAACAGAGCAACCCAACAAATTTCACCCTGAAAAAAATTATCACTTTACATTGTCTATCTAATGTTTAACTCCTGTTTACAAATATATATGTAAACATCATTAACATAAATAAATAAGGTTTGAAATCTGCAATATTGTTGAGAACTTAGAAGGAATGAACAATAACTATATGGTTAATTAATTTAAAATTAATAATTCCTGTTTTTTTTTCCTTTGTTTTTGTGTTTTCTATTCAACTGTAAGAATTACTGGGAAAGTTCAATTTGGTAACTTTGGCTAACTAGGAGAATTTCTTGTGTGCTCTAACCTCTTCATAATAAAGGAGACTTTTATAATCAGTGACTAAAAAAAAGTGAGCTATAATCCCAATGGTTTCAGTAGTATTAACTTGCTGTTTTAATATTTAAAATATTAGATATAAATAATTTCTACATTTGGAGAACTGCCAGTATATGAATTATAATATCTAGGTCACTGCCTGTTTAAAAGATTATTATCTTCTACCTAGTGTAAAGCCTTAAGCAGACCTTTTAGATACCAGAGAAACTATGCTGAGACATTTTTGGAATACCATATGCATGTATGTTTGGCTGCAGAAAAACAACAGAAAAAAAAATTGTAAGGACTGCTTGCAGTAAATATAATGTTTATCTATCAATAAGCCATTAAAATGTGTTTTTTTTTCCCAGATATTTATGTCCCTTTACTAAATTTAGTAAAATTATTGATTTTATCTGAGTTTTACTTACACAGTTGTGGGGGTTTTTTTATATTCTGAAAATGGCATGACAATTTAACAGTTGTGCTTCTAAAAGCAGTGTTTTAAATCTTCATAAAAACTTGCACAACAGAAATATTTGGGGTTAAAAATTTACTCAGTTCAGTTAGTGAAATTGAAGACTCTCAGGAACTGAAATGTTCCTGCTTTCCTTCTTGTGTTTGTAGCAAACTTCACCTCTGTAAAATTCTGATACTTTTTTCAAGCTATGCTAAAGTAGAAAAGAGCAGAAAAGAAAAAAATTATGATAAAGATACATTCACCATGTCTCTAAAATTCACGTTTACCTCTCTGCAGTGGATAAATGCGGTCACCTGTATTAAAAA